AATACCACTACCTCAGACACCTATGATTTGATCAATGCTGTATAAGCGCTGTATCAGTCTCATCAGTCCAACACCTTTTGGGCTTACTCCTGATTGTTGCTACCTCTGTTTTCGGTGGGTTTCCATATCATTATATCTATCACAATCACGGGAAGCATGCAATGCGGACTGGTAGCCACACAGACTGACCGACAGACCGACAAGCTGTAGCCTTGCAGCCTACAGACCGATACACCAAGTTAATGCTTTTAAGATAGGGGGAACAAGCTCTCACGTTCTAGACAACCCAGCGTCATGTTCAATTTGCACTGGAAGTTATATCCGTAGGCCGCATTCATACTTCGCGTCGAGCTGGAGAACCGACGAGCTGAACATTTGGAAATAACCGATGCAATCACTGTTCAATATACACAGCCTCCGGCTCGATTAGTGGTAAAACCGTCCGCTTATTTTGACAATTTTCTAGGCGTGAAGGGCTCGTGTCAAGCCATTACCTACCACGATTCGCCCGAAAATCAAGGCAGGCCAAAGTACGGCAGATTGGCTACAGTGTAGACAAAGACCCGGTCACATCAATGTAAGCAGCATCCGATCTATTAATGGTGAAACCAAGAGTTCTTCTTGCACAGGGTCACTTTTCACTACAACGTGGTGTGGACCGATTCTGATGACAGTCTTGCACGACGATACGAACTTCTGAAGACGAGCTTAAGGAAGGTATCGAAGGCGAGGAGAAGTGAACGTGAGTTTAACTGACAGAAAAACGGTCATATGGTAGCCGACTGATAAGACGCTTGACACCGGCCAATCCGTTCACATTATGCAATGCATTCGATTTCTCACAAGGATGGCGATTTGTGGGCAAAACTCGAGTCTCGGACGGGACTCGAACCCGTACTTGTCCTTTCCGGGGACCGTGCTCTTATCCCTTACACTACCGAGACCCTGCTTGCCCTCGCCTTCTTAATGGCTTATATGCCACCAGTCGGGCCGCCCGGCTAACGCCGGGCTTCCCTCCTTCTTACGGTGACGCCCGGCTTCGCCGGGCGCTTCCCCTTCCTGTAAGAAATTTGCTATGCGTAAGTAACACTTCGAATTCTCCTTTTTCTTTGAAGGCTCTACACCCTCAGCATTAGCTCCAAATTGGGAGCGATTTTTTCTGTATTATTTGCTCTTCATCTTGAAATCGTGTCACATTGTTGGTTCAACTGATTGACAACGAATGTTTTGAATGTTACCCA